GCGCCAGGTCTGTGTCACCTTGCTCGCCGCGCCCGAGGGCCAGGGCGCCGCGCCCCACCGCAGCGCTGCGCGGCGCTCCACCGCGGCGCGGGGCACGCCGCTCGAGGTCAAGGACGCCGCGCTCCGCCGTCGCGATCGAGGCCCAGGACACCGAGGCATGCGAGCTCGCCCTCGAGCGCATGGAGGAGATGGATCTGCTGATGCGCGAGATGCAGCTGCGCAGGGCAGCGCTGGAGGAGAGGATGGACGCACTGGAGGACCAGCTCCAGCAGGCGAGGGCAATGCTGGGCGCGATGTTGCATGAGCGACAGGACGCACTAGACACGCACGACGCCACCGAGGCCAGAGCCGTCGATGTCGCCATAGAGGCATGCGAGGACTCGGTCATAGATCGCACCAGGCGACTGATTCTGGCAGAGGTGCACTACAACGCCGTGGAGCGTATGATTCGGTATCGTACTCAGCATTCTCAGCCGACCGCGGTCGATGGCCCTGGCGACGACGCCGCCTGGCAGTGAGGGGCGCCCAGTTTAGAGCGCATGAGTTCTTAGATTCCTTTTCGGGCGTTCACGCGCCAGGACTGGTCGCCGCGGGCCGCGGCTCCGCGTCTGGACGCGGTCCGAAAAAAGGAACAACAACAAACAATAGTGTTAAGCAAGTGTTCAAATATAATACAGTCAAATGCCAGGCAAGATAACTGGCGGTGCGTAGCGCGCGCGCCGCTGCTCGCAAGTGCAAGCATTGCTTGGGTTAGGCACGAGCGCGCGCGCTCTCTGAACCCAACCGTGCGCGATAAGGAAGCGCGAAGATAGGAAGATAAGGAAGCGCGAAGATAAGAAGCGCGATGGGAAGAATCGCACAGATAAGGCAGCGCGAAGATAAGGAAGCGCGAAGATAAGAAGCGCGATGGTAAGAATCGCACAGATAAGCAATGCAAATATAAGATGCGCAAAGATGCTGACCGTTGCGGTTAAGGTTGGCAGCATGGGGTCCAAGAGCGCCCCCATCACGCCGCCATTGCACCGCCGTCCCTCGCCGAGCGCGCAGCCGCAGTCGCAGCTGCGGCGGTCCGCGCGGCGAGCGGCCGCGGCGCAGCCGCAGCGCAGCCGCAGTCGCAGTCGCAGCCGCGTTCCGCGGCCGCGGCGCAGCCGCAGCCGCTGTCGCAGCCGCAGTCGCAGCCGCGCTCCGCGGCCGCGGCGCAGACGCAGCCGCCCGCGGCGGCGATCGCCATGCCTCGAGAAGGCAGGCCCGCAGTCTTGCCGTCGCAAGCCCCGAGGAGCTATGCCCGCAGCCTCGGGTCGCAGCCGCAGTCGCTGCCCGCAGCCTTGCCGTCGCAGGTCTCGAAGAGAAAAGCCCGCATCCTCGAATCGCAGCCGCAGTCGCAGCCCGCGGCCTTACCGCCGTCGGCGAGGAGGCAAGAAACATCGTCGCGGCGTGCACAGAGCTTACGGCTCCATTATGGACCCATGGATCCAAACGTGGGATCGGCCGCTGCAGCGGGAGATGATATCCGACCAGGGCTTACAAGAGGTGAAACCCGCGGACGGGCCCGATGACGAGATCTGGATGGACTCCGAGGACTGGTCCTTTGACGAGATCAAGGGCTAGATCATTGGCGCGCGAACGCCGACTTTGCTGTGACTGGCAACTGCCGATGTTGACTCGCAACTGCCACTCTGCTCTGTTGTGACGCCGCTCGAGGGCTATACCATCGGCGCAAACGCCGCCTCTGCTAGGACTGCAGATGGAGGGGTGATTGCGATGCTCGCGGGGGCTGGCCTGACCGCGCTTATCATATTAGCTGCAGCGCCCGCGCTGGTGGTTTGAGCCAATAGTGCATACAGTACACTATAAGTTTTAAGTACATTGTATATGGATGGCGGCTCCTCATCACAGCGGAAATCCGAATGCCACGCGCATGAGGCGCGTGTCTTGCAGTCAGGGGAGTGGAACACGACTCTTGCTGCTTATATTGCTAATCACCGCTGGGGCCCCAGCAAGAGATCGCTGACGAAAAATCCGACCCATGTTCCTCGCTCCTCCAGCCCCCAATTCCAATTCCCAACGCCCAGGCTCCCACCGCCATCGCTTGCCACCATTTCCCCTCCTTGTCTTTCCACCTACCACCCCCAGACACTCTTTCTTGCCATCGCCTCCGCCGCTTTATGCGGCGCGCGCGCCACGTAGCGAACGCACGCGTGCGGGGGCTGGAAAGCGATGATCGCTGCGAAATTTGGAAAGGGTTGACATATCCCACAAGCCCTCTGGGCGTAGGTGGTTTAGGGAGTTTCCTCTTCCAACCTCCTTCTTCCCCTTCGGGGAGGGGTTTACCCCTCCCCCCCTTACCCTCTCCCATGGACCTGGACAGGGCGCCCCGCGAGGTGTCAGAGGGTAGTTCGCCAAAGACGGCTCCAAGAGCGCCTCGGAGAGCCTATAAGATGAGCTCCAAGATGGCCCAAGATAGCCGAAGATGCCTCAATATGGCTCCGAAGATGCTCCAAGAGGTCCCAAGACCGCCCCAAAGCTCCAAGAGGCCCCCCAAGAGGCCAAAATCTTTCAACCACCTTCGGAAAACCAATGATGTTCTGCTTCTCGCCTTTTCGCTTCCGATGGCCATCCGAGGCTTCAAGATGGCCCCAAAATGGCCCAAAAGGGACACAAGAGGGGCCCAAGAGAGCCCCAAGACGGCCCCAAGAGCGCCCAAGAGCGCTCCAAGAGCGCCCCAAGAGGGGTCCAAGAGGCGATTCTGGGGTCTCTAAAGGGGCAAGGCTAATTAAGGGGCCCCTCTTCTTTGATCGATATCCTTCAAGATTGCCCCAAGAGGCGCCCAGGAGGCTTCCAGAGGCGCAAAGATTGCCCCCAAGATGGCCCCAATAGGCTCTCATAAGATGCTCCCAAGAGGGCCCCAAGAGGACCCAAGAACCCCCTCCCCCCCCCCCCACCCCCCCCCCCCCCCCCCCCGAGGCACCCAAGACGCCCGAGAGACCCCCAGGACCGCCAGGAGGCGCCCAAGAGGCCTCCAAGAAGCGCCCAAGAGATATCCCAAGAGGCTCCGACAGGCATCCAAGAGACCTTTGGCCATTTTGCTCGCCCTCCTCCTCCTCCTGCTCATCCGTCTTCCGTCATCCGTCCTCCTCCTTCTCCTCATCCTCCTTCTCTTCCTCCTCCTCCTATTCATTTTCCTTCTCCCCACTCCCTCATCCATCCATCCAGCATCCTCCGTCTCCTCCTTCCTCCTTCGCACGGTTCGGCTGCCCCCCTCCTTGCTCCCGCATTTCCCTGATCACCTCAACTCGCCTGGGCGTTGTTTCTGGATGGGCTGACGGTGATGCGCGAAGCGTCTAGACTTTTGCAACAGCACCGATTGGACATGCAACGAAATCTGTTTGTCCTACCCGTCCCCCCTCGGCGACACTGCATTGCTGCATCCGCCAATGCCTATGCTAGGATAGACTGCTGTGCGCACGCGCATCACAACGCTCACTCCTGCGACTCCAACTGCGGGATATCGCCGCCGCCATCGTCGTCATCGGCGTTGCCGTCGTAGACCGTCCAACCACGTTTGAGAATATCGCCCGTAAGGGTCTCAATCGCTGTCTCAATGTCGGCGAGTTCCATGGTTTTTGGTTTTTGGTACTGCAAGTGCTTGCGCCCGTCTGCATCCTTGCACTGCAGGAATATAGACTTCCTGCGATAATCGAACTTCGCCTCTGGCGTGGGCAATTCAATGCGATCCTCTGGGCGCTTGCGCTTGAGCGGCTTCACAGGCGTTGGCTGCAAGGCCGACGCCGTCGCCACCTTCTGGAGCCAAGTGAGATTCTCCACGGTCAGCTCAACACATGGCACCCTCAATGGCATGAGCTCCACGGTCATCTTCATATTGAAGGTCGCGCCCTCGTTGCAAGTCAAAGCCACGCTGGTAACATAGGGCAAGTCGTCGGGATTCACCGCCATCCTGTTGAAGCCATCTGGGAGAGCGGGTGGCTTCTCGCACGGGTTGCACGCATGCAAGTGGGCAAGTAAGACCTCGTCCACGCGCGTGTTCCTCGCCTTGCGCAAATCCTCCAGGATGCAGCTCTTGCTCCAGTACTTGGCCTTGCCCTCG